AGGAAAATTCCCATAAGAATACATTAAGCAGAGAAAAATACTGTTCCAGCACATATTGATAGATGTTCCTGTTACATGCAGATTTTTTTTTTTCCTTGGTTGGTCGTCAAATTTGGATTCTTGGAAAGATATTCTGAGTTGTTAATTTTGGATTGTGCAAAGAGTCAGCTGTGGTAGAGAAGAAGCTCTATGAGCAGAGCTCAAGAATTTGCCCTCTCTTTTGGGCTCTGATTAGCATCTCTTCTGAAGACAGGATTTTTCTGAGGAAACAGTGCACCACACTGAACCTCTTAAGAAAATGGGTTGCCTGGCATGTTGTTTGACCAGTTCTATTCCATGTTTCTGTGTGTATGGAGTAGTCTGCACTACACATGAGTAGAACCACACCACACACCACTGACATTTCTCCACTAAGAGGCCAACCTGCTGCTGGTGGCATTTCTTTCAGTGCAAACACGTGAGTCAGGTGTTGCAGCGGTATTTTAGCTTTAGCTGATATTATTAAAGATGCAAAACTTCTACCTTGTGTTTAATAAACTGTATTTTATTAGCTGAGAAACATTTTGGTTTTCTTCTTTATGTCTCTAGGCACTAGCTAAAGGTATGAAGTTCACATACATGTTATGGCTACTTAAATGAGTTCTAACCTGTAGTGCATTGTAATGGGCATTTCAGTCTTGTGAGATCATCTAACCAGCCTTCTTTAAGAATTCTTCATACTTCAGTACTTCCAAAACTAATACTGAAAATATTCATCATGTCAACCATGTTGACACTTTGCATCTGCAGGCTCTTGAAACCACCAAGTGCCGAAATATTGAAATATACTTTTTGTATGAAAGGTCATCTGCAAAAGACAGAAAATTTGGTCTGTTCCTTGCTCACTTTTTAATCTCATCTGGAACTATAGCCTGAAAATATTTTTTGTCTGTTGTTTCGAAAAGTTTTGTAAGACAAAACGAAGCATAATTCCCATATATGCTGGAAGACCTACTGGAAAAACAGTGAAATGTAGATGTTGCAAGAGCTGGGTGAAAACTGAGCAATATGGAGGGAAAAGGTTTTTGTAATACAGCTTAAAATACTTTGATTTTGTTGTGCTTCATTAACTACTGAGCTTCAGTGAGCAGCATCAGAAATGTTGCTTTATTAAAATATGAACTGCCATTCCCAAATTTAGATGCCCACAGCAGGTATTATTTATCCTTCACAGAAGAATATTCCTGATATTCCTAAAATAAAATATGTCTTAAAATATGCATACAACATAACACTCATGACTACTATTAATAACAATGATATTCTATTACACCGAGCAGGAAAGCAAATAATTTCTCCTCACAATTCTTCATACAAAAAAATTAGTGGCTTAAAGTTGAATAAAATAGGTTATATAACAGAATGGACTTGTGACACATTTTACCCAAAACCTTGATGTAATGAAACTCCACTGTATTAATGGAGATATATTTTATATAGATTAAATAAAAAATATTTTGGACCGCTTCCTTGTGGATGCATATGCTAGTTATGTAGTTAATTGAAATGCTAATGAGCTAGAGACCAGTATTTCATGATTCACCTTCCTAGACTATTTAAAATTGTTTGATTGATTTATGGACATTTACAAAAAAGTTGAGTTCAAATAAACCATTCCTCATGAATTTTTATGGGTGACATGAATCTCTTTTATTCTGAGTGTGTTAAGTTTTAGCCTCTGCCTCTGCTGTTAAATCCTCAGTGACTAGGGATGCAGCAAAGTAACCTCTCTACAGAATGGCTGCGCTTGCAGAACATGGAGCCACTTCCATTGCCTGACTATCCTTCTAGACAAAAATAATTCTTAAATTTTCCCATGATCTGACTCTAGGTAGTTACTTTGGTCTACTTCTTCATCCTCCCTCACTGTGAATGTGAAGAACGATTGATCACTGTCCTCTTCAGGACAATCTTACCTATATCAGAAACTGCTGTGATGGCCTCTTTCAGCTTGCTCTGGTTTTAGACTAAATGAACTCTGCTTCTTCAGCCTTTCGATGTAGGTCACATTGTCCAAGTCTCAGCTAGACTCTCTCTCATTTGCCTATGTCTTTTTTCAATATAACCCCCACTGCAGTAAAGTATTTAATCTGAGACCACATTAGCACCATTTCAAGCAAAATAATTACTTGCCATGCCTTTTACGTGTGTCTGTAACACTATACCCTTGAAGACCATTTGCCTTTTTAGCAATGTTGCCACACCGGAAACTTCAAAAACTTAATGTTACTTACAGTGCCCAGTCAACAGCAATAATCAACGTGATGTCATCTGTTGGGAGCCCAACCGAGGTCAGAACAATGACCATTGTCACCAGGCCAGCTTGCGGGATACCTGCAGCACCTATGCTGGCAGCTGTTGCTGTGATACTTTAACAAAGAAAGAAAGGAACAAGCTTTACCAGTGATGGGCTGCTCTGCAAGAAACCACACTGTGTTTCTACAGGAGCTTTCCTGAACCATAATCCTTTTTACACGAGCCACTGCACACAAGTGCCAGTGTTTTGTGGACAGAAGCCAGGTCAGAGAGCAAGAACAGGCTGAACTGTCTGCCCACTGCTAAATTCTTACCCTCTACCTTTGCAGCCTTGGCACTGGTGTGGCAGTTCTATCTCTTAATATCACAAGGGCAGAGAAAGGAGGGCAGCCAGGCTGTAGGCTTCTCTGAGTTACGTCAGCTTCCCGTGGGTCATGGCACCACGCAGTGCTGTGTGCCATGAATCTGCCAGCACTCCTTCTTGCTGCTTCACCCTTGGCAGCAGAGCTCCCAGCAGACATCTCTGAGTCATCATCGGCAGTTCCTGTGCCAGGCAAATCCATGGCTGGCTGCAGCTTGGGCCTTTAATGTCAATCCATCACAAAGAGGCTAGGCCAAGGGTAAAGAGGCTGCGCCAAGGGTGCAGTCCTTGCATAGTACATGGCTTTGCATACTTGGATCTAAATATGAAGCACGTGTGAATGAAACTGTACCTCTTGAGTTTCTGGAAAGTATTTTTACTTGACCTTCACACAATTTTTTCAGCCAGGCAAGCAGAAATGAATGGGAGACCAGGGCAAGAGTGGGCCTGGCAGGCTTAACATTTTTTTCATAACACTATTTTTAGAGGAGGGATTCCAGGAGCAAAAGTGACTGGATATATTCATTTCCGCCCATCTGGCCATTTCCAAGAGCAAGGCCATCCAGCAGAAAGACAAAACACTAAAGTTGACAACTGTAAAAGGATGACATAAAGCATATACACTGATAATCCACTGCATTCACCAATCCAGAATTTCAGAGCTTTTGGCAAGCAGTTAATCAATCTCCTATGATGGAAATTGAGGGTAACAGTATTCACCCATATGGAAATTGAGACACAGAGATATCCAGTATCTTGCTCACAGCTGTACAGTGTACCAGTAGAGCAGCACCAGTATTAGAACTAGAGCCCTTTCCTGCAATAAAGAAAATAATTTGCATGTGGGTGTGATGGTGAATGAGCAAGACTTAAAACTACATTTTGAAAAACTTAGCTTGTATAGCATCCTAGTAGCATTGTAATAGGCAGAGTATAGAGAGAAAGGAAGGGACAGAAGCTCAGTAGTTGAGTAAGAGATAAATATAATGAACATTAAAGGTTCTTTAGTTAGTGCTATAAACTGGTTATCTGATTAGGACTGCTTCTGCCTCCTAAGTCAGTTTAGGCCACAAAGTCTCACAGCTTAACTGGGAGTAAAAACAGGAATGTTTGACAAAGATTGTACGGGCAAGCTCATCTGCTGTTCCATTCAATTTTGACCTTAATATAGATGTTTCTTTCTATAATATGCTCTGTTGATGGGAATAGGATCTTTACTGTCTTTTTCTGCTACATCTAGGTTTGCATAATTACATTGATAGAAACTCTCAACCTGGATTTTACAAACTATGAGCAAAGTAGACCAATTACTTTTCTAACATTCTTTTCCCCCTCTGGCAAAAACCCTGGCACTCAAGAATATTTGAATTTTAAATCTCCAGATCCGAAAGTATCAAGACCTGGGGCAGGTTTGGCCCATAGAATACAGTTAGAATTTGGCTTCAGATATTCAAGGTACTGAATCCACGGTGATTTCCTATTTACCCCCTTCTTTTGTAAATGAGTCTTTTTATTTCTTTTCCTTTCTTGGATTTTTCCAATATTCATTTGTATTTTCCTTCTACTGTCTTTAGTTCTCTCTGGTCCCTATGTACTAGCACTTAATAAAGAGATAAAACAGGGTTCTGCTAAGAGAAAGCTAGAACCTACCTTCTTTCCTTTTACTATCACTCTCCTGCTCCTGCTTTTTTCAAATCACTATTCTCTACTTCAATGTGTATATGACATCTGCCCATGCTCTGGGCCATACTTTGGGACCACATGCTAAAAACATCGCCAAATTCAAAATCACCAAAGACTAAATTTTAGCACAGGGTCACTCCAATAATTTTCAGAGAGAGAGAGTGAGCCTGAAGCAAGAGCTCATATGGGCACAATTTATTTCTTCTGCTTCTAGTTTAACCAGATCTTGCCAGAAGCCCATTAGCAAACCTCAGCTGTCATCTGGGGTTAGTTTCAGGACCCTCCTCTTCTTGTCATGAAGGTCTTCAAGTCCAGAAGAAGATGGGCACGGCCCAGCAGTGTAAATGGGGCAGTGATGAGGTCACTGGGTGGGTAGGTAAGCAGATCTCAAATATGTTGCACAAGGCTCTGACTATGAGGAATGTTTTTCTAATCATTTGTTCCCTGCTGGAAACCTGCAGGTTTCAGTCCCTGAGGCATTCTTTGGCAGCCACTGGAGTTATTCTGGCAGTAATCGTTCAGCTGGATCTTCTAGTCTTTTGGATCTATTACAGACCCTTCAAGGACAAAGTATGCAGCTATAGCACTCTGCCCACTGACAGCATGGTTGTTTATGAAGTTTTCTGCTTAAACAAGCAGCAGAGAAGACATTAAAAAAATACCTGTGTGATACAACATCTTCATGAAAACCTGCCCCGATAGTAGCATCTGTCCTCCTTCCCTGTTCCCCTACTCCTCCAAGGCTTGACAACGAGCTTCCTAACACACACCCCGTTACCTAATATAGAACTTCTAGTTTTGCAGTGTTTTAACATAAAGATGCAAACTAGACTTGAAGTTGAAAACAGTCCTGACATTTAAAATTGTGTTTTAAACACCAATAATAATAGTAAAAAGTTCCAAACCTAGTAAATGATCAATGGGTTGACTAAAAGTGAAAATTAAACAGTTATCCTCAAACAGAAACATGTTTCCTGGTGTCCGCATGCTTCTATTGAACAGTACCAGTACCATTTCCTATGTACAGTCCCTGATCTTTGCATTACTTAAAAATAACCATCCTACGAGGAAAGTATCCTTTGATACCAGCAAAGATGAGTTTTGTTCTGAATATTGCTACGTACAAGAATTGTGACAGTGTCAGACTTCACAAGACAAGCAAATCACAGCATGTGGAATTTTAGGTTTATACCTTATAGTAATAATCTGCCCAAAGTCCAGCTCATAGTTGTTTACTTGTGCAATAAAGATGGCCGCCACCGCCTCATAGAGCGCCGTCCCATCCATGTTGATGGTGGCTCCCACAGGCAGCACAAACCTTGCAATCCTCCTGTCCACATGGTTATTCTCCAACAAGCACTTGAAAGTGATAGGCAGTGTGGCTGAGCTGCAAGAGAGCAGAGAAGCACACATGGAATAATTTTTATTTCTGCAGAATAGAACGAATTGAAGCAAACCTTCTCCATGCTAATTTTACACTAACCATCTGAGCACTGCTTCTCATTCCTTGGTCTGCACGTGTGCTCACTTGCCATGTAACTTCCTATTTTGCTTGAGTGAGTTACATGTATAAATGCTAGAATTAGTGCAAATTTTGCTTCCCCAAAATTAAAAATGTCGTCCTCTCTTT